TTGTGCCTTAGAGATAGGGATAGTTAAAAAACGGTTCTTTTCATACTGTTGTATAAACACTTGTGCTAAATGATACTTACTTGTTTTGCAATTTTGTGATTTCAACTTGGTACTCGGCTTTGCCTTGTTGATTGAACTTGTTGTCGTTGTCAATCTCACCCATGCGATGCTGCAAAACTGTAAGCTCATCCTCAAGTTCCTCGTTTCTCTCTCGAGTAAGATCGTACTTCTCTTCAATTTCGGATAACTTCTTCTGCAAAGTGATGATATCATCCTTCAAGGCATCACTCTTTAAGATCAAATTCTTGTTTTTGATTTCAAGTGCAGCAAACTTCTCATGCAATGTCTTGTTTTCGTTGTCCAGTTTAGCGTTCATCTTGTAGGCATTCAGAAGCTCAGCCTGAAGTTCATTCTCTCGTTCTTGAGAGCGCTTGTAAGCTGCTTGGAGAACGGCATACGATGAGGAGTCATCGTAGTCTTCGATGTTTGATTTGGATTGAATGTCGATTTCCGCTTCCAGCTGTGCCACACGCTTTAGAAGAACATCGTTTTCAGCCTGAAGTTGGTCCTTGCCGAATCGACAGTTATCAAGGTCGTTCTGTAAGTCGCTAATCTTTCTCTTTGAAGTTTCAAAGTCGTGGAACAGCTTGTTCTTGTCATTAGAAAGACCTTGGTTGGTGTTTTCGAGGTGGTTGATAGTCTTCTGCATGGTGGCAAGTCTTTCCTCTAGTCTTTGYTTCTCTATGCTGATGTCATCGAAATTCTTCTGCAGAGTGTTGAACTTGTTCTGCCAGGAAGTTGCATCAGAAGCTAGACGATCTTTCTCAGCACGTAATCCATCTACATCATCATCCATACTGGCAAACATGTCTACTCCAGATTCAAGCTGTCCGCCGGCAGCTTCACGGATAACAGTTTCGGTCTCGACTTTCTCGTAGCGGCTTCTTGCTTCTTGTAATTGATTCCTCAGTGTCTCTATCTCAATTTTCAATCTCGAGTTTTCATCGCGAGAGTTGTGTAGCTGAGTCGTAAGGTCAGTTATTTGTGGTTCAGCCCTCAACAAATCACCCTGCAAGTCGCGTTTTTCTGACATCAGATTTTCCAATTCGTTCCTTAGCATTGCAATTTCTTTCCTCTGCTTGTCGTTGTCTGCCAAAAGATTCTTGATTTCATCTTCCAAGCGATCAACAGTGTATTTTCTTTCAGCATGTTCAGCAACTTGAGCATCAAAGTTTTGCTGTAGGTCACGAAGCTTCTGTTGCAGCTTGGCAATTTCAGCCTTTAGGGCTTCGTTCCTGGTTTTATTCTGGTCAAGGATTCCACGGAGCTGAGCTTGAGTTTTAGCTTCATTTTGAAGTTCGTCCTCCAGAGCATTGATCTTGTTCTGCAGATTTTGCTTATCGCGTTGAAGTTCTCCCTTTGCATTTTGGGCACTTTGTAATGCTGCTTCCAGTTCAGCTATCTTCTTATAGGCATCTAAAAGCTGTTGGTTTACAACCACAACGAAAAATGACATGTATTTTATAATTGCCATTTATATGAAAATGAAAAAAGGTTTAATTTTTTAGTGAGAGGGCGTTCAAGATTGAAAGCTTATGGGGCAATGTTTTGGCTAGAGAACAGGTGTGAATGCAAGTGGGGCTAAAAGATTGGAGGATATGCGAAAAGTTTGTATTTAAAATTTTCAAAAGTCTAAGTCTTACCTCTTTTTGCTGGGCTTCGATATTACGCTGAGCTTCGTCGCTCTGGGCTTCAAGCTGTGCTATTTTGTGCCTGGCGTTCACAATTTCATCAGTCAGATCTTTAATTTTGTTCTCAAAGGTCTCGTTGTAGGTCTCCAAACGTGTCACTTTGTTCTTAAGATTTTGCACCTCTTGCTCAAGTTGGGCATTCCTCTTCTTCCATTCTAAAGCTTCGTCAGCATCAACCTTAAAATACAAAAAGTAATATTTAAAAAAAACAAACAAAGGGAATAGTAATTAAAACAAACGGAATGTAGAATCCCTTAAACACCAAAAACCATGAAAAATTAACAGTTATACATACCCTATCCTTGGATTGCAATTCATTCAGAGCTTCTTCCATTTCTTTGATTCTCTTGTCTTTCCAGGCACTCTGGCCATCGAGGATGTTCTTCTCGCGGTTGGCATTTGATAGATCGTTCTCTGTCTTTGTAAGTCTCTTTCGCAGTGAAACCATCTCATTGTCCAAAAGTTCCTTGCTCATTTTTAACTTCTTGTAGGCGCCATCCAAATCTTTGTATCTCTTGGAGGTTGAGATGTCGATGTCGATAGACATGCCTGAAGGTGGTGCTGATTGCACTTCACTGGCTTGGTTAGATACAATCACTAAATCACCATGAAGTCTGTCTTTCTCTTGGCGGTGGGTTTCGATCTCGATTCTCAGTTGGGAAATTGTTTTCTTAAGACTGTTGATCTCCATCTTGAAGCGGTTCTTGTCAGCTTCGAGCGTCTTCACGCGGTTTTCCAAGTAGAATATTTTCTGGTTCTTGACATTAAGCTCGTTCTGGAGCCTCTCAATGTCCTTTAGAGCATTTAGGTACTTGTTCTTGAAATCTGTGGCATTTGCATTGGCTGTGGCCAACTCCTTTCTAAGCCGATCGTTTTCATCACGAGCAAGATTTAGGAAATGCTCGAGCTCAGCAATCTTCGTCTCTTTTTCGTGGACTTTGGTATTTAGCAAAGTTACTTGATCAGCATACTCATCAATTCTTTCTTGAAGTTTGGCAATCTTTTGCTTCAAATCAAATATTTCGTTCTGTAGTTGCTTTTCGTTGTTTTCATGCCACTGAAGTTGGTTGTTTTTGTCAGCAATCTCCCTCCTTAATGCATCAACTTGCAAAGCCAAATCACTTGCAGCTCGTTGTGCTTCAAACATGTCTTCCTTTGCCCTTGAAAGTTGAACACGAGTTTCATCTAGCTCACCACGGAGTTTGGCAATTTCTTGCATAGACCTGTGATAGTCTTCCTCCAAGCTGGCAATCTTTTTCTGTGCATTTATCAACTCGGCGTTGAGGTTATCATTCTCGGTTATTGTGATTTGGAGTTTAAGTTTAACATCCCCCAATTCTCTCCTGAGCTTTTGAAGTTCGGCTTCAAGATCATCTTTTCGTTTCTTGGACTCTACTAACTGTGCGCGTAGTGAGTTCAGTTCTTGAATATGCATATTGTTATCACGCTCTAAGTTATTTTTCTGGGTTCTCAAGGAGGCTATGATTCCAGGAGCATCTGTTTGATCTCCCATCTGAGCCAGTTTGGTTTTCAATTCTTGGATCACCCGCTTGAGGTCTAAGATCTCGTCTTCTAGGTCCTTTATTTTCTTGTCTCTGTTACCGAGCTCTGCTTGTAGCTTGGCATTAGCGTCTGTTAGGCTCTTGTTTTGTCTCTCAAGTTTGTTGTACTTAGTCTTAAGAGATTCAAGGTCAGATCTCAGCATCTCTACTTCCATATCGTCTTGAGAAGACTCCACAACTACTTCTGACATCATTGTGATTCCTGATTCGACAGGTCTTTGGCTTTCTATGTTTATGATTTGCTCATTTGCTTGGCTCAGTTTTTGTTGCAGATCAAATTCTTTTTCGCTGCTCACCTTGTTTGCAATGTCCATTTCGGCAACTCTTCTCTTAAGGTTGATGTTCTCCTCTTCAAGGCGTCTAGCCTTATCACGATGACCATCACCTGCATTTTCGATGATTGTGAGACGATCAGTAACCGACGAATGAGACTTTTCAAGATCACGAATCTTCTGTTGCGCAGCCTCGTAGTCTGCTTCCAGGCGTCGCATATTCTTCTTTAAGGAATCAAGTTCCCTCTCTAGCTCATCGCACCTATTTTTCATCTCCTCGATTGTGCGATCCCTGCCATCGATCTCTTTGATGTAATAATCAATTTTACTCTTGAGATCGTTCAACTCTCGCTCAATAAGGTTCTTCTCTTCTCTAAGGGCATTGAGCTGCCTTTTCAAATCCTCTATCTTGTCATTTAATCCTTCTTTGTCCTTTTGGAGATCACGAATTTGTTGTTCAAGAATATTAATCTTGTTCGCGCTGGTTCTAAGATCCTCCAGAAGGCGATCTCTTTCCCCAGAAATTCTTGCAAGGAGGTTTTCAAGCTCATTGATCTTATTTGTCAAGTCAAGAATTTCTTGCTGGAGACTTGCTTTTTCTTCTTTCAGATTATCGTTCTCATCCTTCATGGCAGCCAGCTGTTTCTTGAGACTATCTAGCTGTCCCTCTATGTACTCTTTGCTAGCGGTAAGACTGTTAATGGTGTTATCTTTTTCAGTTGCTTCTCTTTCCAAGGCCTCAACCTCCATCTTAAGCTCTACGTTCTTCTGTTGCAAGTCAAGATTATCGTTTCGAGCTTTCTCGAGCCGGTCTTGTGCATCCTGGAGCTGATTATTCAGGGATTCGTTTTCTTTCATGGTGCTATCCATTTGAACTTCCAAGTCGGCAAGTTCATTATTTACCTTAAGTAACTCTGCTTTCAGGGCTTGCTTCTCCTTTTCTATGCGATTTTTAAAAGCTTCAAGGTCTCGTATCTTCTTGTTGAGAGAATTGACCATGGCTCGAAGGTCGACATTTTCTTTTTGAAGTTTTTGGTAGTCGGCTTCCAACCTCTCATAGCGGTTTTTGTATGACTGCAGCTCCTGTTTAAACCTGTTTTCACGGTCCTGGCTTGCTTTATAGAGAGTCTCGATTTCATAATAGCGAGTGTCGTGGGTGGAACTTACAGAATCTCTCTCTTGCCTTTCCTTGTTCAAATTGCTGATTGTGATTTCAAGTTTGCTAAGATTGAGGTTGGTGTTCTTGTAGGTTTCCTCCAATGTTTTCAGTTTGCTCAAGGTGCTTTCCAATTCATTTTTGGTGTTCATCAATTCTTTTCTCAGTTTTGCTAGTTCTTCATCAGAAGCTGCTTTCCCATTTCTGAGTCTTTCAATCATTACGTCTTTCTCCTTTATTATCTTGTCCTTGGATTCCACCTCTCTTTCTCTTGCCTTCAAGTCACTTAATACAGTGAGATAGTCTTCCTTCAGCTTTCGGAAGGCTGCATTTAGGTTGTCGAGCTCGATTTTCAGGTTATCTCGCTCTTTCCTCACGCTTGCAAGTTGTCCCTCCAAAAGAGCTAGCTTGTGATTCTTGCTGCTGAGTTCATTGTCAAGAGCATTTCTTTGTTCCTTCAGATCTTTAATTTCTCTTTCTAACTGCTCGATACGGTCAGCTAGAACTTTGTTCTTGCGCTCAAGCTCCTTCTTTTCCTCTCTGGCCGCGTCGGCACTTACATTGGCAGCTAAGACATCACGTTTGGCGTCTTCCAAATCCTTCTGAAGCTTCTTAATCTTGTTGTTTAACTCACTGATCACTTTGTCTTTCTTGGTGATGACGTTATTCAAGGCATCATTTTGTTTCTTTTGCTGAGTGTTTTCTGCTTCCAAAATGGCAATACGTTCCTTTGCTGGAACAAGCTTATTGTTGGCATCTTTCAGTTGATCTTTGAGCTGTTGATTTTGTTTTCTTAATGTGTCTATTTGATTCTCCAGCTTACCTATCTTTGTCTGCAAGTCGTACAAGTCATCCTCTGCCTTCTTTCTGTCTTCCACTGCAGCTTCAAGGTCACTTTCGAGCTCATTAACTTTGCTTTGAGCGACAAGCAAATTTCTGTTGATTTCGTCTTTTTCTCCTTCAAGCCGCTGAACTTCTTTCAAGAGATCTGCAATTTTCTCATCGGCTGCTTCCAATTCGGCTTTGAGTCTATCAATTTCTTTTTGCTTGAGAGCGTCTCGTTCATCAAAGCTTTGAACTTTGTTCCTGAGTCCCAAGAGTTCCTTCTCCAACAGGGCCACCTTTTCCTTTTCACTTTCCAAGAGGCCTTCCATTCCAGACGAGGAATCCATGAAATCAGTATAGCTACTTTGGACATTTTCGATCTGGCTGTTCACGACCATGCATTCCCCTTCAAGAACGTTGATTCTCTGTGTGTGTTTTTCTATGTCAGTTATCAAACGGTTGCATTCTTCTTCTTTTTTCTTTAGTTCTATCAACAACTTCCTTTTCTCGTCTTCACTGGATTGAAGCAACGACTTCGTATGTATCAGATCAGCTCTTAGTTCTTCAACTTCTTTTTCCAGGGCACTAATTTGATTCTTAAGGTCTTCAATATTTGCATCTTTTTCGAGAGAATCTTTCGTGGCCTCATCAGCTCGGCGGACTGCGTCATTCAGTTTGTTTTTCAAACGATCGACTTCGTCTTGAAGCTTGTCGACCACCGACTGGTGATTCTTAGCATCTTCCTCAAGAACAGCGTTTTTATTGAGAGCATCTTGGAGTTCTTTTTCAAGGCGGTTAACTTTCTGGTTGAGAGCCAATACTTGCTGTTCGAAGTCCCGCTTTTCTTTTTCAGCTGTGTCGTAGGCGGACTCAAGTTCTGAAATCTGCTTGTCTCTATCTTGAAGCTCTTTGTTAAGGCGTTCYACTTCATCTTCTAAGTGCTTGGCTTCATCTTCGGCTATTTGAGCTCTCTTGTTTGCATCATTCAAGTCACCTTGCATTTCTTTTGCCTGTTCTTCAAGAATGTCATTCTTAGTRTTCACTTCTTGGACTTCATTATCAAGAGCATTGATCCTGTCTTCGAGTTGACGRATGGTGTTTTTGAGGTCATCAATGGTTTTCTTCTTACGGTCGTTGTCGTTTTTGTACTTTTCAGCAGTCCTCTGGGCATCAGCAAGAGCTGCTTGAAGATCCACGATKTCTTTTCTCAGCTTAGACACTCTATCCTTTTCGGCATCAAGGTCGGATTTAAGCTGAACTTTGGCTTTTTGAGCTGCCTCAAGCATTGCCTCGAGGTTTGTGTTTTTGCTTCTCAGTGCTTCCACTTGTCTTTCCAGATCATCTCTTGTATTCTCGCTTCTTTCCAGGGCAATCTTCAGGTCTGAAATTCTCTTTTCCAAAGGCGCAATGTTCTGCTTCAGTTCATCTCTTTCTTTGGCAGTTATCTCGTACAATGACTCCAAGTCATTAACTTTTGCTGAGGTKCCACCAAGCCTAGAAAGAAGACCGTCAACTTCAGAGACAGACGACTCATAAGTTGATTGAAGTTGCACGTGCGTGCTGGAGATATTTTCAATCTCTGTCTCAAGCTCACGTACACGCGATCGATARCGAGTCACTTCAACCTCCAGCTGCTTAATTCTGCTGGTTGCTTTAGAGAGCTCGTTCTCTGCTGCTGCAAGTTTCTTCAAGGTAATTGAAAGCTCACGCTGCAAGTCCCCGTTCTCCGTCTTCAAGCTTTCAACAGTGGCTTCCAGTTCTGCAACTTTCTTTTCGGCATTTCGAAGATCACGCTCCATATTCTGCCTTGTCTTCGTTTCTATCTCAGCTTTCATTTGAGCTTGAYTMMATTCCWGCMGAAGCWGCTCAAGCCGGTCCTCTAGATCTGYATTTTTCKWCTCCAGARATCGTATCTGCTTGTYCTTAGATCCAACCTCGTCACGAAGTCTGTCAGCCGCCTTCTTGTTGTTTAAAGCGTCAGTACGATATTCGTTGATAGATTCCTTGGTCCTCTTCAGCTCATCTCTCAGCCTCTCAAGCTTGTCCTTCAAATCGTCGCGCTGTCTTTGTGCRTTCTGAAGGGAAGCTTCGTACTTTCTCGCCTTCAAGTCAGAATCCCTCTTTGATGCCTCTAGGTCTCTCATGGCCTTGTCATAATCTCCCTGGAGCCGAGAAAGCCTTGCTGAAAGTGACGCAATTTCATCGCGCAGTGCCTCCTTCTCTTCGCTTGAACTCTTGATTGTTGTTTCGTACGCTGAAATCTCCTGATGAGCAAGGTACAAATCGTCTTCATCTGGCGCAGATTGAACAATGGTTGTTGAATCGCTGCTGATGATCATTTCTTGACTCATGCTTTCGATTCTCTTTTGGAGATCAAGTTTATCAGCTCGGAGACTAGCAATTTCGTTGTTCTTTTTGCTTAGCTCCCGTTTWAGCATTTCGTTCTCGGTTTCCTTGTCCATTAGCCTGCGTCGAACCATGGCCAGTTCATYGCTCAGTTTCTTGTTATCTCCTTTGGAYTCTCGCAACTGATCTTCAAGGACGCGCTTTTGCCTTTTGAGATTTTCAATTTCCAACTGCAATTTGCGCACCTGTTGGTTTTAAAATGAAATGTCAATTTTGTCATTCTTTCTTTCGTCCGTCCGTCCGTCCGTCCGTCCGTCCGTCCGTCCGTCCGTCCGTCCGTCCGTCCGTCCGTCCGTCCGTCTGTCCGTCTGTCCGTCATTCCGTCATTCCGTCTGTCCGTCTGTCCGTCTGTCCGCCTGTCTGTGTCTGTCTGTCTGTCTGTCCGTCTGTCTGTCCGTCTGTCTGTCTGTCTGTGTTATATTTCACTCGTATTTAAGAAGGCGGAAACACGAATAAAAGGAAAGATAGTATTTTTTATCTTCAAGCGGGGACTTACTATTGTATCGCTATTCAAAAAAAAATTACAACAAAATAACAACAAGGCATCTAARTCCTATAAATGACACAAAATATGACATGTTTTAACAGTTTTTGATACGCTTCTATTCCGAATATTTCACATTGATGTACACCATTTACATGCCGAAGGTTATTTACGGAACACTGAATCCTTCAGTTTTCGTATTTTGTTTCAGCGTCCTTGGTCTTGTGGTCAAATACTTCCTATGACCCTATATTAAGCTTAGCAGACGCCGTACGTAACTTAACCGGCTTGTCCAAAAAACCTGCCATCGATGACTTTAGGTGAATAGGATCCAAGCTTAGATAAGAGGCTCTGACGCAAGTAGAAATGCTTTAATTGTCAAAAAGAAAAATTCTTACTACATATTCAAATGAAATGCACCAAMTTGAGAAAATTCAAGCCCTGGTGCTCGCATCTTTTGAAAAATAAATTCGAGGATCAAGTTGCTTGACATTTTCGTCGATACAGAGCAACGTCACTAAAGATGTTTCCGGGAACCTTTTAGCCATAGACTGAAAAAAGGAATGATTGAAAGCCGATAATAACAGCATTTRAATAAGCACATCGGCTCTGTAAATAAAATAGATTAATCCGAAGACATAATAGGAGACGTTCTAGCCAAAGAAAAAGCTTATGAGACGATGTCTGGGAATTTTATGATTGACTGATTATTTTTTTCCTTTGACCTCAAAATATAATTCACAGATAAAGAGTGTATTTTATTACTTTTGGCTTGGACAGGTTGAACTTTGGCTACGGCAATAATTTGAAAAGAAAATTGCTTTCACTAATTTAATATAAAGAATGAATTAGAATTTGTACACTTCCTATCAAATTCCAAAAAAATGAAATTAAAATGATGAATTWAAAAAAAATTACTTTGGCTCTCTTGATWTTAACATAAAATACATAAAGCAATCAGTCATAACCACATAAAAACGGAATTWTTTTTATTGAAAAGGTGCTAGATTTTTACTTATATTACAAAAATAATATAAATCTTTCTTAATAATAAGCCGCCAGATACAGTGATTTTTTTTTCGTCTGTTTTTTTGTTTTTTTTTTTGTTTTTTGTTTTTGTTTTTTTTTCCCCCTTTCTTTTGTACAAAATCAAGCTCCGTTTGAGACTAAAACAAAAGATTAATCCTAAAATTTGTACAATTTTTTGGAGCCGCGAATTGTTTATATATGATGGCAATTTTGTTTCATGGCCTCAGATGGTATGGCCTCAAATAACCGATCCGAATATAAGAATATCCAAACCATTTTAGCGTGACTAATGGCAAGTAATGTAAATAAAGCCTATGGACTTATATACTTATATATACGCATATGGTATACAGTTTTGAATTATTTGGCCATACTGGGCTGTGTCTATGAAAAAATTCAAATACCTAGATAGAGCCGAGAAACCTATTTTCTGTTTTTATCTGTGTAGCTTTCAGCCTCTTAAGCGATATTTGAAACCTTTTAAAATCTTCATCGGAATTGCTTATGTTTAGATGTTTTTGGTTTTGCTTACTACCGATTTTGTTCATGAATGTTTCTGCCAGCAGCTTTTTACTGAACTTGATCAGTTAATTCGARAATAGCAACTTAAGTTCCAGCCCATGACCGGCTTGCAATGAATTATTCTTTTTTTRAAAACAGTATTTTTGGCAGTTCATTTCACTGCAATAAAACAAACAAACCGATACCTTTTGTGTTGTTTTATTTATATGCCATTTATTAGGATGGCATGGYTTTAATCTTCGATTGACAATATGTTTTTATAAAACCATATTCTATTTTTTTTTTGTTTCTCCGTTCCAACAACCGGGTTTAATCAAGATCCCAAAAATATTTCTATGACCTGACCTCTCATTGACCTAAACTTGATTTTATCGTCGATATGCAAATTTCCTCTGAGTTAGGCTTAGTTACGCTTCGTTGAAATACAAGCCTACACTATTGGAATCACAAGAGCAAGCTTTGAAGACCTTATGATCAGCTGAGAAACTTTGTCCATAGTCCAAATGCTTAGAAAAATCATTTAAATATTTTCGGTAAGGAGAGGGAAATAAATACATGCGATTTTTTAAGCTCATTCAGTGTTAGAATGTCTTATTTTTTTACAGACAAAACAGCCAGCAACTTCCTTTGTTTTAATGACAATTGAGGCTCTAARATTTAGTGATGCTGCGACCGTGAGAAACCACCCCAATAGCTAGTGTTTTTCTTGTCAAAGATGAGGGTGYAGCGTTTTAATACAGGGGTTTAAAGAATCTTCGATAGAATTCGTCTATTCGGTTCGATTTCTATACCGAGTCGCGGCAAGCAAGAAAACCAAAWTGTTTAGCATTTAATTTCTTAATGAGTAATTTAAAAGATTTTTGAATAATAATTGAACTTCATTGGGAATTTTAAAAGCGATTGTTTTATTRTTTGTGAGAAAAAGCAATGTAGTAAAATTGTACTTCAAGCCTCAGACGTTTTTCTGCCGAGTGTCAAACTTGTCACAATTTGAAAAATACAGAACGTCTATAATCACATATTTGTCATACAGTGAAAAAAGTGAGTTTGAATTTTAATTAATTAAAGCGATGGCTTAAGTTGGGGCAGTTAATTATRCTTCTTGTTGATCAAAGAAGGAAAAGATCGCTATAAGTTTTACAGAAGCAAGCAAGCGTGCAGCGTTGATATGGGCGTTTTCTTGATAGCAGTAATAGTATTAGAGATGGTAACCTTACACAGAACCTATCGAGTTACTCTATGCACAAATCATTGGAGAGCGTTCGTAAATAATCTACCAGTAACGAAAACCAAATACTAAGGGACTTAAAAATATTTTTTGCAAGGCATTGAAATAGAACCAGATTTGACTTACCTCGATAGCATGTTCCTTCCTCACTTCTTCGATTTCATATTTAAAGCGCCTGTATGCTGCTTCCATATCTCCAAAAACTTCCTTTGCTTCGGAAATTTGCTGGAGTGTAATGTCACCAGCACCATGACCACCAGCCYTGCTCGAGTACGTTTTGAGGGACTTGTAGTACGAGCTTGAGCCCGATCCAGCTCCGTAGTTGGTGGACGAAGTTTCCATCCGAGAAGACGACYTACTGCTTGATAACTCGGAATCATTCATGGTTGATTCCTTGCATGCAAACCTCGTCGATCTGTTTTCAGATTTTCGAGTTTGGGACGCGATTTAAAAATCACAATTGATTTTGTGGAACTATGTCTGACAAATTTCTGATGTCGCTCGATCTACACACCCAACGTATCTTTCTCCGAGTCTGCAGAGAACTTTTCTGTCAAAAAGACCCAAGGGACTARCATTAGTCTYATGGAAYCAAGCGTTTTTGTAGGGCTACTGTCATTTACATAGTTAGGACCGCCTATGAAAGTACGCCCTAGTCATCAAGATTTTGACACGCACAAATGTTCACTGACCCAGTCCAGAAATTTCCGTATTTGTAGTGACCACACTGATCCTATGTATATTGTCYTTTGTTAGGCTTGAGTTATTAAGTCGCGTCCTTATCATAAATTATAGGGTTCACGCTCCTCTTGTCGGCACAAAATTCCTTCTTCGATACGTCAAGCTCCGCAACCTTCTTCTACCTAACCAAAAGCGATTTTACGCAACGGTAAGTGAGTGTCCGCTAGATGGACTCCTGTTTTGTCMCAATAAAGACCTAAAGAAATAGCCTGTGTGCTTTTAGGAGAGTTATCCAGCATGTCTTAGCAAGCCAGCGTTTATAGTCTTATATCTTCTGCACCCCGGGTGACATGAGTAACCATGCTTTAAATAGGACCGAGAGTGACATCAGTTTGAAAGGTTTTAAAGCAGGATTTTGTCGAAAATTTATAGTTATAAACTTTCTATATATCATCAGAAAGAGAGCGTAGGGAATGGGAGAGGTCTCTAAAAGGATAAACAACAGAAACTCATATCTACGCTGACAGCGCCTAGATTTTGTTATGCGTCTTGGCGAAAATTAAGTATGCTTGACCCAACGTAGCGAATATTCAAGACGGATGGTGTGACATCGATATGCAAATTYGGACAGCCAAGAGCTGACAGTAAATTGTAAACACAGGATAAGTTAGGATGAGATAGGCTCTAGTGCATTCTAGAGCATTAAACCCTTTATCGGAGTAAATCTTTTCTTTAAAGACGAAATTGGGGAAAAAATTAGTAGAATATCATCAAAATTTTGCTTCAAAAACTCAGAAAAATCATTTTTCTTTTCTTTCTCCTTGACTAGCTAGACGGCAGACTCCAAAAAAAAAGCGTTTGATCGACTCTGGATCAAATATTGATAAATGAGAAAACTGAATTACAATAGGTCTGCTATTACCACAAAAAAAAGTCCCTAAAAAAATTACAAAAAAATATGACATGCATACGTGATATGAAGATAGTTTTGCATAAGTCACAGAATCTAATATTTTGATAAATCGTTAAATTAAAAAAAACCAAAGGTCTTAAAGGTCTAGGAAAGAACTTATGGTTTGTTTATTCGAAGTTCCGCTAGATTAGAGACCGTGGGAATTCGAATTGCATCTTGAATTGCATAAGAAATCAAAGCACATGAGGTTCAATTTTAAACTTAGACTTTATAATGCAAATTCTTTTTGGCACTAATTTTCATAACCTCATCTTCTACAAGAGCTAGAAAAGAAACCTCCTTAAATCTAGTTCATTATCTCTTGGGTTAAGTTACTTTTCGTGGAGTGCATTTACTTTTTGGGACATTYTTAGACAATTTGACGCGGTTTTGTTGGTATATTGAATGCTTCTTGCGAACTTTCTACATAATTAAGGCAACGCTAAAATCCTGTGCAAAAGATTGCACTTTAATAAGTAATAGTGTTTGATACCGAACTCATCATAAATTATGAAAACTTCGACKGATATTGCTATATTTGAATTTAATTAATAGGCATCGATTATATCTATATATGGAAAGTATCTGGTCCACACAATGACTAATGTCTTTGCTTGACTTTTAACGAAAAACACTGATACACAATAAAGTAGTTCCTTTAGTGGAAAATACTTTTAATTTATAAATTAATATGCGTAAAGATACGCAAAAAGTTTTACTAAGTAATGATAATGGCTTAGTAGTTTAGTCCGAATTTCTTCACGAAAATATTTAAAATGCGTAAAATAAGCCAAAAAGTTTCGTAGACTTAGAAAACCTTAATAAATTTTCGTTGTTGGAAGTTTTTATTCCAGAAGGTACTGAACAAGACTAAATGCTAAATTTCTAATATTTTGTTACAATTTATATAGCTTAAACTATTTGTCTCCTCTTACTGTAATATAAARGGAATCATGTGTAACCTTGCTTACTAGGGATTTTTTTGCAACAACCATTCAAAGTAGTAAAAGAGAAAAGTTCGGGAATATGGATATATTAATCTGAATGTAGTAGCCAGACCTTTGGTCAAACGTTTGAGACAGTTAGTACATTAGTACTAAGTTGTTATTGCARACTATGCTCACCGGAGACATAGCAGTTCCACCTTTCGAAAAAAAGCAAAACAAAAAACAAACTGAATGACATTTAAAAAAATTCTTAAATACAACTTCACCTTCGTGTGAGTTTAATCTAGCATTTTTACTCTACTGTGCACTTTAATTTTAAAAGTTTAAGTAATATACATCCCAGACTCAACGCCATATTTATCTGCCAAAGAAACAAACTCTTCTGTGATACTTTTAACTATCTTGTGATTAATGGTGTCGAAGTCCTAAACTTAATGACTGGAATTTATCTTCATAGATYAAAGCAAATTGATTTGGTATAGATTGATGATTAGCTGCACAGCTTTAATGGCGGGCCAAGTGGTGTCACGGCGACCTGTCAGTGATTAACCAGTTCAAGCAGTTAAAAACATCTATTACTGTAGAAAAGAAGCTCAGCATCACATGGCATTGTTCAGTACTGGGAGTGATCTTAACACCATGCATGACTGATGTACTATAACTGGCACTAGAGTTTGTCATAAATCAGCAACTGAGTATTGATTCGCGCCTCTAGGCACGATCATTTTCAATCTTGAACTCTTAGTGTGCTCAAAAAAATCAATCATTTTGACGTATCCAAGATATATTGGCGATGTTGCATACTTGATTTCTTGCAATATAGGCCAACTCCCTCTGTTATCCTTTCTGTGGAGTTGCACAAACAATTTTCATTGCGTGAGCAAAATATTTGGATTTCAACAAAACAAAACACGAGGGTCTAAAGCTTCGCAGTTTGATATCTTCCGAAAAAAAACTTTAACATAGACAGAAAAAAATAGTATAACTCAAACTAGCTAAAGTTTGAAAAACAAATAAATAGCATTTGGAATTCTGTCTCTTTTTTTTTTTTTTCTTTTAGGCGTTGACTATCAAAAAACATTTTTGGGGTTTTGACAGCTTGTTAAAGGATCGTATGAAGTGTCATCATTAAGTTTCGTAACCACAACGTTTAATTATTTCGATAAAATATTGCGAAACGYTTTAAACTAAAAGAGATAAATTAAAGAGCAAACTATAACCACAGATTAAGTTGAAAATTGCTCAAAAACAAATTCAAAGTCCAAAAACATTTTATTAAAGTGACAATCAACTTTTTAATTGGTGTCACATGATAAGAAATGAGTCCTTTGGAAATTAATATGAATATAATATTGGGAATATAATTAATGGTCTCTTGATTTGATCAATTAAACCTAATGAGATTATTCTTAAATCAATCATTTTTGTTCTTACAGTTGAAAGTTAGTCATGGAGGGGTTTAAAGCTAAAGGCCTTTATTGTGGGTCTCATGCCCAATATCTTCATTTAAATCCTCAATATAGTAACAATATTCTGATTTAACGAGATTTATTTAATTGTTTCTGTAGCTTTGTCCCAAACGCCTACATACTCTTATGAATAGAGCTTTGCGTGTATTTTCGAAAGAAAAGAATTAGAAGATTAATTGCTTCCAAAGATAATGCTATATATTTGTTGGTTGAATAATTTTGAACATGCAATAATGCCAAAGCCCATAATAGGACTTTTTTAACTTTTTCAGCAACCAATTTGTCTCATGAGTGTCRTTTAAATGTATTTATTAATCCATATTACTATCATTAAGAAGTGATAAATAATATATAAACGAGATGGATTGACAACTGTGACAGGTAGTAAATCATTAYGTCATTTGAATTGCATCACTTTACTCTATAAAAGTAGTCCTTAAAAGTTGATATATCTTTCAGTGCAATTAATGCATTCATATATTTTACCGTCCAATAGAACAAATGATGAATGAAAGTTAAGAAAGATATTCTGATCTAAGTGCAATTAGTCATTTTGAGTTTTTCCACTCTCTTTGGCTATTTTTACGTCGTTATTTTAACCTTTTATTTTTCTCAGATTGCATCACAAATCTAGAAACATCTTTTTGGAAATTGAAAACCAAATTGATATGACAAGTGTGGTTTTTATTTCAAATAACCATTAGGCTTTTGTATGATAATTGGTAATTTGATTGTGTTTATAGTATGAAACGTGGCTTCATTTTCTTGTAAGAAAGAAATGGAGCCATAAGTTCAAAACGATAAGACAGGTCAGCATTTGCAAGTATAATTTTCCATGGTCCCTTGTGTGTAGTACTAAAATGTCATACTTATGGCTTCAGGGTGCTTTTATAACGAGCTAWGAGTTTACACTGTCTGGGTTAAAAAGTTTCTGATTTAACTCCAACTTTAGATGATTTATGTTTTAACTTGAGATGGTTGGTGTTAAATATTCTTCAATGCATTCTTCTGTAACAAACAAACTAATTTTACAAAGTTCATTAAATATAAATTGAAATTGCCTCTATAAGCATGGAATAATCGTTGAGGCACGTCCACTAGTGAATAGGTACCATTTATCTTCGACAAAGAGATGTTTTGTTTTGTTTTGTTTTGGTTTTTTTTTTGTTTTTTGTTTTTTGGTTGTTTTTTTTGTTTTGTTTTTGTTTTGTTTTTTTACAAAGGGGCGTTCAAAACAACAGGAGCATTTTAACGGCAAGAAAAAATTTTAAGTCAGTTTTCCATGCTTGTTATTAAGAGCAATAAACAGAATCGCCAGCAGCAATTTGCTTTCCGCTGTCTACAGAGTATCACTGATACAGTAGAATTTCATAGACAAGTCTCATAAGTTCATTCTTGGATGTGTAAAAGTTAGGACTCATACAGTGTTTCAATATAAAGCATTCTATCTGTTCCATAAACTTAAGCGAGTGCACTTAAATCCTTATGTTTCTGAATAAACTCGGCTCGACAAAGAATATATATTTTTAAACGAGGTGGTAAAAAAATCAAAGAATAGTAGTTGTTGTGTCTAAGATTCATATGTAGATTATACCGATAGATGTTTTCGATGACACACCTTGATTGTGAACATTTTTAAAATGGTCATGGGAATGCCTTTTTGCTGAAACCTTTCGGATAGCTGAAAGCATTTTCTAATTTCAATTTACAAGCCAAAGCTTCATAGCTTGCATACAAAATATCTGGCGCCCAAAAACGCTCAATATTCAAAAATATGCTATCTTCATTATGCTTGGAATCAAGTAACTATGAAGGCCGTTACGTCTGGACCTCTTTTAGCCATGGTGTTKGATTTGTGAAACCTTTCKGATAGCTGAAAKCAATTTCTAATTTCAATTTACAAGCCAAAGCTTTATAGCTTGCATACCCAATATCTGGCCAAAAACGCTCAATATTCAAAAATATGCTATTTTCATCATGCTTGGAATCAAGTAGCTATGAAGGTCGTCACGTCTGGACCTCTTTTAGCCATGGTGTTTGATTTGTGAAACCTTTCTGATAGCTGAAAGCAATTTCTAATTTCAATTTACAAGCCAAAGCTTGCATACCCAATATCTGGCCCCCAAAAACGCTCAATATTCAAAAATATGCTCTCTTCATTATGCTTGGATTTGTGAATGCTGAAATGAATGTGAATGTAGATTTGATTTTGTCACAACCTTTTTTATAGCTAGCTACAGCCCTCTGGTGCCTGGTTGATGAAAACAAATACCAGGAATGATAAAATTGGCGTGAAGAGGTTATCATCGAAACATTGATGACCTCAGTCTTCTTTTGAACGAGGCAAGGTAAGTGAATTTTTTTATAAGCCTAAGGTAGAAATTAAGGTACAAGTTAGACCATCGGGAACAAAAATAAGGGCGTTGACTAATTAGTTATGTGAGGTAAAGCTAATATCTGTGCTTTGTGTTAACTGTACGCAAGATTTAATTGGCTAAAGGAGKCTTATTATTTTCAGTTATTGCCAGAAAAGGCTGCCAAGCCCACTACGATCAGCCATGCGAACTCTTTATTGACAGCAACTCAATTTACATAACTCGGTATACATTTGATCCTCACCAAAAGCGACTATGTTGACGAATAAATTATCTGCAAGGTTAAACTCTGCAAAATCTTGTAATGTTTTTTCAGGGTTGGTTTGATCGTGGGTCGTAGATCCGTTCCCTTTTACTCAATAAAGAAATTCCGTTAAAAACCTAACGGGACGACCATGAGTAAAAATACAGTCCKGCAAGAGTCTTCCGGCTCTTCGTTTCAAATGTACCAAAGTGGGATTTCTGATGCACGAAGCAAAGACACTTTAAGTGACGATACCGTAGCGTACACAAGAGTACAGAGAACTTCTAGGGGGTTGTACGACGACTCTGATTTGACGCTCAAAAGATATGATTCTGCCAAGGATACTTTCATAGATCTGGAAGCCGCGTACAAGAGATTCCAGCTTCAGCTGCAGACTGAAAGAGACAGCCATAAATTAGAGGTAAAGTACAGTAACATACAAGTGTAACTCCAATTTCACATGAGGCTAATTCCAATCAAAATACTGTATAAACATAGMTTTGGTGGAGTTTTTGGTAACCATTTAAAAACCACGGCATAAAAGCGCTGAACAACAATAACTTTACGAATGTAATCTGGGAATAATTGGTGCATTAAGGCCGTTGTAACCGCAACGTAAATTAAGGTTCTCAAGCCAGAAAAACATTTGAATTGGAAATAGTGTGCAACAACATTGATTTCCTATCATCCTCAGCACTTTAAACACTTTTTCTTGGCGACCAAGATGTTTGTCTTATTTAATGACTTAAAATAACCTACTTATCTGAAACATCACTCCACATATGTGTCAGTCTGTCACGAAATCCGAAACATTCCCTCTGCGAAAAATCTAAGATATCATTTATATTTGAAACGAAGCTACTATAGGTACAAGCCAAAATAATAGTAACATTTTTGATGCTTTTCTTTCTGGTTTAGTTTTCTTGAAACTCAGTTGGAATACATAGGAATTTAAGATAACCACTATACTGACCTAGACTAACCTAGACTATATTATGGCGTGGTCTGTTTGACAAAGGTGCGTTATGATCGGACGGCGTCCGTCACGTAACGAGTCCTGCATTAAGGACGCGAGTGTTGCCTTAAAAGAAAAACCTTATAACCACTAACATGCGTCTTAACCTCCCCGGCGAGCTCCTGTGTCAATAACTTTTTCGTTTCTTCTATTTTTACTGATGTGTTTGTTTTAGTAAATTCGTTAAAAATAGATTAACATGCTCTTTATCAAATATGGTGAAAAAGAAATGATGTCTTTACACTATTATTGCTTCAGAGTCAAGGCCATTTTTAAATTATTTATTGTACTTTGGTCAGTTTATCAWACTTACACTCACTCATAATGCCGTACTGAACTCTTAAAGTGGAAAATAAATTCAGTCAATTTAAATATCACTTTTTCTTTTAAAAAAATTATTTTATCTATTTTTATTATTATTGATTTGTCTAAATACTTATGAATATTTCTGCTTACCTAAATATACCTGCATTGCACATCAATACAGGAGGGGCAATATCGTAAAAATGTATGATCAAAGACTATTGTCTTCCATTTTTGGGCATATTTCTTCATCCGTTGCGATACGAGTTTCGAGAACATTTCCTCCAACTATTTCACAATTTAACAAGTGTACCAAAACCTGYATTTCTAAGCATAAATAACAATAGACGGGATCGTTTCCCTTCCTGTCATACTGTGTCATACAGTGAAATATTAATCGAAGTAGAATTCCAATTTAAATAAACAACGGAGAAAAATAGCTTCACAGCTATAAACATTGGTGTTGAATCCATAAGGCCAGTGCTGGGCCAAGATGAGATGTCTGACGTTTTGCCCTTTGTTCTTAGTATGTTCTGGGTATTCCATATCAGAATGTGAGGAAAATGTCATAGTGAACTTTAAATAACGAATTTATTATTGTTCTTCAAGTGTTGATTTTAGGTTCGACTTTTAGTCCGCAGTAGTCGGTGTATTTCGTGAGTTGGAGGGTTTTAAAATCTGAGGCGGTACAAGAAAAGAACTAGATATCTTGGATTCTATCATGAATTCTATAGTACCCATTTGATTGACAGCTCAGATCATTCTAGAAAAGCAACGAATAAACCTTTTTAAATATTTAAATATTTGTAGTAAGCTCTTAAGCTGYTACTCCAAAAGGTTCTCTTAGCTTCTCTTTTAATCTTCTTATGAAAATGACTGATATAATGTCATTCAGTGAGATTATATGACAATACTACTCAGGAAAAACGATTTCCTTTGGACCAATAGAACCTTCAGTTCGCTCACTTCGCTAATTTATGAGCCATTCTTTAATCAATAAGGGTCTAATGCATATAGATATGACATAGACGCGAATCTTCATATTCGCAAAATTTGAAACGTTTGAAGAATTGGAAAATGATAAAAGTTAATTGACAAAAGAATTCGAGTTCCCTGCTAGCAGTCTCTTTCGTTGGCTGTTCTTGGCAGCGAAAATGGGAAGAATTCTTGTGAAGAGACTTTGAGAAAATACCTCTTAGCTAGAACTATCCAGTGTTTCGGTATATATCAAATCACAAAAGTTTGGTGCTTCTAATTTCTGTTTTTCTGGTTTATATTCAATATTTTTTCAAAATCAAAACACTCTTTAATCTGTTACATAAATATAGAAGAGTTTTTCTGTCTCATGTTAAATTCAATTTTGTTATGGCGCCAACTTRAGTCATGCGGGCATAATGAATGGCTTGATTGCATACAGTGTTCATATGAATACACTCGATTGCAGAAACGTTGTAGTATTCATTTATGCATTTATACAAATATTTAATGAGATGCATAATGCAAAATAACCATTTTNAAACACGAGAATAAAATATTTTGACGTTCATTGAATGAAACAAATAATAAATAAAGCGAGTTTTCTGTTTTGCATATCATTAAATATACTGAATGAATTAGGTATTTGTATAAAAGTATACTACAACCTTTCTGCAATCAAGTGTAAATTATAATTATRATATAAAACAATTCCCTTTCTGCTATACGAGTAATTTTATATTGTTTAAATTCCATATTATTTTTCATACTGGGATTTTATATCTCTTTTTCTAACCGTGTGTTATAATATTTCTATCATTCATTCAGCTTCACGAATACTTTATAATAGCAAAATTTACTTTCGGATATTGTATTTTGATTTTTATTGTGGAAAATATTTCAATGGAAAAACAACAATAGATTTTTAATGCAAAATGGAAGTACATAAACTCGTTGAATACGACGTTATGCCTTCCAATATTCTTATAATTGACATCTGCATTGCATTTTGCTTATCTATTTGCAATGATCCGTAGACGATTAGCAGATTTTGCAAGTCTTTTCATTATCGATCACGAATCTTTCTTGATGAACAATCTAGAGAAACCTAGTTTGCATTTCAGTTGTGACCTCATAACCTAACTAAAGTGGTATCATTTCCTCCGCGTCGCGTTGGCTGTGCTGTTGACACCATCATATACATATTACAACATTTCCAAAGCAAATAATCTTTACATTCAGTATGGCYAATCAAACGTTATAAGATCACCTTTTGATAAAAACATAAGAAAACTACATTCCTTTGCGTGCAGACTCTTTAATAAATGGCTTCCATAGAAACAGACATTAAATTGCAATACAATACTACGAACCGTTCCGTTATATCTACTAAGGAAATATATATAACAATTCCAAGTATTATGTGCATTATRTAAAGGTTTCCATGGAAATCACGATTGTAGTGCAAGAAGATTTCAATACCACTGCAAAGCATCGTACATTGACCATCAAACTTGAGCTTGCCCCAATAATCGGGAGTAACTAGTACTTGGGTAAGGGAAATTAGTGATTAAATATCCCCGAATAACGAGGGAAAATTCATAAAAGTCCCGAGGGCGCAGCCCGACTTTGTAATACCATGATCACCGAGGAAATAAGGGAAAAAATGCGGTTTTAGATGTTCGGGTTTCTAGGTCACGGAAGCGTAAACAACGAAAGCATTCACAAACTCTCATAAGCATGCATGAAATGAAAATGTGGTTTACAAGTAATACCATGGCACGAGGGAAATTAGTGATYAAACTCCCCCGAATAACGAGGGAAAATTTGTGGAATRAAACAAAAATAGAATCTAAAAACAAGTTGTCATTTCCAATTTATCTTAYGATTGAGCATGCGCAGATTTGAGAACGCGTCCCACATGGAAACCGCAGGGGCATAGAGTTGTCCCTGAGGGAGACGAGGCATTTTTTTCTATATTTCCCTCATGCATTGAACATAAGGGAAATTTAGAAGAAATCCTTTGTATTTTACTAAATTTCCCTACATTTAATATATGCGACTGGGAAATTAGTAAAAGACAAAGGATTTCTTAGTCTTCTAAATTTCGCTCATGTTCTATGCATGAGGGAAATACGGGGTCGTAAAGCCATCGGAAGACAAAAGAATCCGAGGTGATCATGGTATTACACAATGATAACTTTCGCATCCATATATGGATGTAAGGGATATTGTATCTACATTTYCTGTAAAGTAAAGTTCCCGTTAAAATGAAGGTTACGATTTAAGGTGTGAAGCGCCTCACAAAGCTAAAGTCAAACATAAATATCTATAAAAAGAGGAAGGAACAGCCTTTGTTGAAAGAGATTGAAGCTTTCTGCATGAATATAGAAATTAACTAGAAACACGTTCATGATGGCTTCATTGACCTCTACCAGACTCCCTTGCACACTTTCTTTTGTTCAGTTAATTAGCACCAATTGTGTTACCATTTTCATAAGGAAATACAACTTTAAATAAGAAAAAAATCGCGAAGCATCTTGGTAGTGGTAGTGTCCTATTGACAGCTGCCACTTAACATTTTCGTCTTTCGGGATCCCTTTGCGCTAAACCATCCATGAACACAATGTTCATAGCAGTAACAAAGTATTTCATACTGGTTTTGGTCTAGATTTTCAGGAAATATTGATTTGAGAAAAATCAATATGTCGTTACGCGTTCACACATTGATAACATTTTTCTTCAGCATCTTTCAAGTAAAAGAAATAAAATTTTGCACCGGTTAGTTTGTACTGAGTTATCACTTGAAAACACAGACAGCATACGCGGGCAAGGCTAAGCCAAAACCTAGCAGAGTCTGAATAATACTGTTTTGATAGACTGACAGCAGGCATCAATAAACATAGCAGGTCAGTTCAGGCCAGTTTCTACGCAGGGTTACGTAATCGTCGCTTTGGCCACATGAGGTGTCTAAGCGCATGCGTATTTTTCTGATTCAGTGCCTTTCAGTCTCCTTACAAATGAATATTTTGATTCARACATCAAATATTTAGTTTTGTATAAATTACGTCTGAAGAGCTAATGGACTAAGACCTTCAGGGCGCGGCTTCCAATGGCATCGCTGGGCTTGTACATAATACTACCGACCACCTGCCTTTMTCAGTTAACCGAGAAAAGAGACCCACTGTGCATCTCAACATGAGGCCATTTTTTCTCGCTTTAATTAAAATAACATAGTAGACAGCTTATTGGGTTAARAGCCGCCGCTTTTTAACCATCACTYATTCATCGTAATCTTTYTARRCCCAAAGAAAWAGGTTRTTAATTCATGTATGCATTTCATYGTGCACTGAAAAGTTTCCTCGGTCCTAATAGGACGCTTGATAAAGCTCGATCAATGAGCTCACGCCACCTTGSCTTTCCAGCCCGTTGGTTCTTTTACAATAGAATGCAATTCAACTGCCTAACATTTCTACCAGAGTCTCGTAGTTTCAGGTTTTTTTCCAGCCTATAATCGAAAGACAACTAAAAATATAAATTTTGAAAGCTTTCTTTAAAGTTCAAGAGTTACCCTGTAGTGCTGCATTGAGTAGAAAGGCTTTAGTTTCAATAATAAATTTGTCCTAATTGTTATGTGTTTAGTTTAAGGTCAAATTGTCTTTGAAAAGCAAGTACCGCACAAAATATCACATTGTTAAGGGATTCAAATGAATGGATTCTTGTCCCACCTCTAAATTCAAAGATCACCATAGTAACGACTTCACCTGACTAGGGCGTTCCCATAGAGAATATTCYAGCTGCCTATTACATGTGCTTAGCCTATTTATTCTATGTTTATCGACATAATGACTGTCAAAACATAAAGATGAATATTCTAGTGGAARATTCTGTTCATTGGCTGTCATATTGAATCTGGCACTACCTGCTGATAGAAATGTACCGCAATGATGAACCTAGAACTTTCGTCTAATCCCTAATACTRTACAATCAGCCTGTTATTGGTCTCAAAATATAATATAATCATCTAAGCCTGCCATATTTTTGAAGTTTAGCAGCTGTATATTACGAAGGTTGAATCAGCTAGCACTGCGGGATAGAGGTTCACTTATTAGATTTTTTTGTTGTCGGGTTTTTTGTGCACAAAATTGTGTCTAGAATACTGCACTTGTTTTGACTATACAGTAAGTATTTTATTTGTCTTTGCTACCCGATTTATTGAACGGTTAAACCAGAGTCTACAACTGTAAAATATGCAAAACTCGAGACTGTTGTGTATTGGGGAAAATCAAAACATGACTGACGCGCTACATGAGACATGTTTCAGCAACTATACCGCATGACTTYAAGATAAGGAATGAGTCAAAGGCGTTTAAACCATTCCTGAATTTTTACTTTACTTCAACCTGCATACCATATATAACTTACAAAATCGTACTACTTCGTGCAAAGTTTCGTAGATGTATATTCTACTGAACTTACTAATTTGTGCAAAATTGTGCAATTTCTTACAAAGTTTCTCACGAATATAAGCATAGTATGCACTCTATRATACAAGTAGTATTTGGAATGTAGTTAGTTAACTATGCATTATACAAATAACAAGACTTTCTAGTAGTTAATTTGTGTGGTTTTTTGTTGTTGTTTTTTTTTTTGTTTTTTTTGTTTTTTTGTTTTTTTTGTTTTGTTTTGTTATTGTTGTAGTTGTTGTTGTTTTTGCCATTAACAGTGTGTAATAAGATGAATGGTTCTTCTTGACCACCTTACAAAGTTGCGCATTACTAGAAGCCTCCAGAAAGAAAGTTTTGTGATTCACACATATTCATAAACCTTATGATAAATCTCGTTTACGCCAGAGCTTCAGATTTACAGATAAGATATCAAGAAATAGCTAACCACTTTTTTCCTATGCAACCGGTTAATTGTTCATAATTAGATAGACAGTTTTTTCGCCATAAGTACAGCTTTACGTATTTAAGCTCAATATTTTGTAATTGCGTTCTTTTGAAGCCAAATAGCAAAATATCAAATGCGAGCAAAATTTATTGAATGCGTATTTGAGATATAAAGCCGTGTACTTTGGAAGAGGGGATATTTTGATCAGCAGAAAAACTGACATTTTTGTGAATACTGATAAATAGCCTTTACTCTAATAGACCTATCCCGAATTCGCTTGACTGATCACGAAATAATGGTTTGAAGTCAAGACTGAACTTGATTCTTTTATTCGTCAAGTTCAACCTCGACTTGAAACCATTGTTTCGTGACCAGTCAAGCGAATTCGGGATAGGTCTATTCGACAAAATTTCGTCACGAGTTTCGAGCCGCAGTGACACAAATGAAACGCTTAAAAATTTGGAGTATTAAACTCAGTGAAATAAAAAAAATCGTGAAAGTAGCGTGCTTGTCGTTTTTCTGCTCTGTCAGTTGGATATGCTTTTATGATCAAAACTCATGTAATTGAGTTTTAGGTCAGTTTTTGTTTCATATAAACAATTCCAAACTATGTCGCTTAGAATCGGAATATTCGTCTCTTGGTCGCAAAACAATCAAACTTCTTTTTTGAAGCTTAATAGCAACCGCTTTATATAAACAAACTTTRAAATATAACATTTCCCTCCCCTTGCTTAGCTTATTAAAAGACGTAATCCTCCCCTTGAGTCTACAATGACTAATGACCCTCCTCTCGCTGAGGTCCCAACCCTCCCACACCCCCTCCCCCCAATAAAAAAACGTTACTTTTGTTTTTTACACTTACTGTAAATACTTTCGTACACACCACAAATAAATTTCTTGGGCTGCCTGCAGTTTAACGAGAACTTTATGTTATGCTATATTTTATAGGAAAAGTTTTGAGATTTGCAAATGGGATAATATAAATKTATACAAAATTTGCAATTTCAGGTTGGCAAACTCACTTCTCGTATAGACTCGCTTACAGAGCAGAATAGAAAACTCAACGAGCAGATAAGTACTTTTAAGTATGATTGCAAGAAACATCAGGARGAGCTTATGGCTGCGCAGCGTAAACTGCGAGACAAGGACTGGGAAATCGAGTCCCTCAAGAGAGATCTCGGCTTCCGAGAAAATACCATCGAGAAAATTCGTTCAGAGAAAGTTGCTCTTGAGCTCGAGCTAAACACACTACGAGATGAGATGTCGATGCAGGTCATGCARGCCCCCGTGGTTGAGTCAGCGGTCGATGAAACGGAATTTTATTTGCTACGTGACCAAGTATCGCAATGGGAGAGTGACTACAACTTAATAGTGGATGAGAGGGACACTTTGCTGAATGACTTATCGGTTTTGCAAGCAAAGGTCTCAGGCTTAGAAAGTGACGTCGACAAGTATAAGAGGCAGGCCCAGTCTTCTGGAAAAAATGAGACCCAGATTATTTCAAAGTATGAGGTTCAGGTATGCAAATATTTTTAGATAAAGGGAAATTTTATATCGTCGTGACCTTCGTTGACTCACAWAGCCCATCGCGCATTTCGGGCTCGTTATGCAACATTCAATTTGCAGCATATTGCTAGCAACATATACCCTATTCAAACCTTCGTAACGAGTGGGTGACCAAAATACAATTGTTGCAATATATGTTATATAATGCGCTTTTAAAAAATCGCAATAGCTTTTAAAATCCACATGTCTCYTTTCTAACTTCATTGGTCTAGTAATAGTGTCCTCATTTAAGGAGTCTAAATAGAATGCTCAAGGTAGAGGTACCTCGAGGCCATCGAGAAAACCGTGCCATATTGAAATCTTRATAAACGTTTTCGTTTAGATCCAAAACTTTAACAAAAAGAGGRATATTCTTCGTGGCCAGTATGACAACTTGAAGGAAGAGCTAAAACGATGTCGCGAAACTATCGCTCGAATGGAGGCCGAGGCAATGGAGAACCAAGTCATTACGAACAAACTCAAAGAAGACAATTCCATGAAAGCTCACAAGATAGACAACTTAAATGCAACCAACGCTGAACTTCAAGATAAACTGGACAAGTTGAGAGCGCAGCTSTCAAAGACCGAGGCGGAGCTTGAGTTCTTACGCAGGCAGTCATCAACTCGAGAAGATATGTTTAAGAGTTAYGAGAAAAAACTRCATGACCTTGAGGAAACACTAGCAAGACTCCAGTCCGAGCGAGATGCATTTGAGAGCGACCTTACTGTAGCAAACATGAAAGTTGACGAGTTTGAAAAGTCTAACCTAAAATGGAGAGATCGAGTACACGAATGGGAGTCTGTGGAGGTGATGCTGAAGAAACAGATAGGTGATCTTACGTCCGAGCTGGAAACTACCAAGGAGAAGTTATCAGAGCAGGTGGACGGCGAGGTGATCAATCGTTTACGTGAACTCCAATCACAGCTGGACGCATCGGTAACAACCATCAACGACCTGAGATCTGAGTATGACTTGATTATAAGAGAAAGAAATGACCTTAGAAAGGAATTCGACGGACTGACGACAAAGATGTCGGGTTTGCAAGAAACAATAAGATTACGAGAGACGGAGAAGACGGGTCTTGAAAGACTGGTTACTGACTACAAGAATAAGCTTTCACGACTTGAAAGCCAAATCCAAACACTGACCAATCTACGAGACAAGCTGAAAAAAGATCTTGAGAGTGAAAAAGCTAGATCCGGAGAAATAAAGAAAGACCTTTTGAGAGTCGAAAACGAGCTAGCAGAAGCCAGACGAAATGCAGATCGCCTGAAAGCAGAGATAGCTAAAAATAAAAAGACCATAGAAGAATTAAAATCAAAGATAGCAACACTGGAAGATAAAGTTGATAGTTATAGAGAGGAAGCAGAGAACCTCGAGAAGAAGATTGAATTTTTGGAGCGCGAGAAAGAAGATCTTCATGACCAGTTGTTGGAGATGCAAAAGCACCTACAAGACGTAGAGTCTAACTACAGAGTGGTGTCGACCGAACGCGACCGAATCAACAGCGAATTGCAAAGCTGCTACAAACAAATCGCTGACCTACAGTCCAAATACAATGTCTGCGAAGAGCAAAAGAATGACTACGAGCAAAAGGTCATCATGCTAACGCAAAAGGTGGGAAGACTGGAGGATGACCTTGACAAAGCTAGAAGAGATAACACAGTGCTTGAAGCAGAGGCTAAAGACCTTACAACCTGGAAAGAGAATGCTACCCATGAAATCGACACACTTCAGAAACAACTCAGGGATGAAAAGAGGCTTTCTGAGTCGTTTCAGAAAGAGATAGAGCAGAGGGACACTACAATCGATGATTTAAAGGCAAAAATTAGCAAACTAACAAATGAAAATGAGGCCCTTACTGACGAGCTGACATCTTTAAAGGCTCTTTTCAAGACCATTGAAAACGAGAACAAGGGATTGCAGGACAAATTAGATGCTGCAAATGATGAAATTGCCAGGCTGACAGCGTTGTACGAATCTACAACACAGAACAAAGACCAACTTGTCAGCGAAGCAACTGTCGTACAGATGAAGGCTAGCGAAGTGGAATCGTCATATATGGATAGCGTGCAAAGAGAAAAAGACGTCGCAGCTCAACTAGAGGAAGAACGAGACAAAAACAGATTTTTGGAAATGGACATTGAGGAACTGAAAAAGACCGTTGTTAATTTAAATGAACAAATCAGTGTTCGCCAAAGAGATTTTGACAAGCTTGAAAACGACATGGACGTAGCTGAGGAAAAAATAATCTCTTTGAACCTTGAAATTGAAAAGATAACAAATGAAAGAGCATTAGAGTACAATCGCCTCATCTCTGCTGAAGCCAGGCTAGCTGAAATCGAGAAAGAACTCGAAACAACCCGAAGTGAAAAAGAAACAGCTGAGAAGGAGTTGTACGATCTGCAGACTAAGACTTCCAAGCTTGAGACACAGTTGGAAACGAGTAAAAAGCTAGTGGCACAACTGAGGGAACAACTAAATAATTTGAATGCTCAACTTCTAGACTACAAGGAAAGGCTTATGCAGATTGAGAGCAAGTCTGTTCAAAGCGAGAAATTTAGTGAAACTTTAAATTCAGTGATAAGCAGAAAGGACAAGACCATCCAGGAGCTAAACAATAAGAATCGTGTGCTGCAAGACGAGTTGGATAAAATCAAACGACAACTGAATAAGGCAAATGGTGACAATGAAACCTTGGCAGTTTTAAAAGAAGAGTTACAGAACAAACTAAAAAACGCCATCAACAAATCAAGAGATCTAGAAGACGAAATCAGAGGTCTGAAAGAAAAGCGCAACAATCTTGAGCATGATTTGAATTCTAAAGATCACGAGATGCAAAAGCTTGAAATGCAAATTCCGCCACTGAAAAAAGAGCGCGACCAACTAAAAGACGAAATCAACAGCATAAGACAAGATTACAAGCATGTTAAGGAAACCTTGTTGAATGCTCAGAATCTTATCAACGACCGCGACAGGACAAACAGCACCCTCAACAAACAAATCAAGGAAAACCTCAAGATCATTGAAAACCTAAAGAGTTCAAAAGCTGCTTTAGGTGAAGAAATCGCAAACCTCAAGACAGAGCTAGAAACTGTCCGATACAATAGCCAGGAGAAAATCAGAGAACTTCAGGACAAGCTAAATAGTGCGAGCCTGCATGTCTCCAAATACGAAACCGTGCTATCCACGTCAGTGCGCGAGAAAGATCTCCACCAAAAAGAGCGGCAAGACTTTGAAAGCAGGAACTTTGAACTAGAAAACCTTTACAGAGCTAGTCAAGATAGAGAAGCAGATCTTAAGAACGAGGTACATGCTCTCAAGGCAAAACTGAATCAGATAGACGCAGAGTACAAAAAGTCGCAGAAACGCATTATTGAGTTGCAGCACCAGGTTTCGCAGCTAGAGAGAAAAGTTACTGATTTAGAAGGCGCCAATGAAAGGGTAACTCGAGACAAGAAAGACCTAAAAGACTCGTTGGTTTCTGCGAATTCAAAGATCACAGAACTTGAGCTCAAAACAGAGTACGATGACAAGGAAATAGCATCGCTAAAAAAGCAGCTGCAAGATGCTCTGAACAGAAGTGCAGCAAGTCGTGAAGAATTATTGCGACTGGAGCAGCAGTTGATTGAAATGAGGCTTATTGCAGACTCGGCACAAGAAAAGCTGAACGAAAAGGATAACATCATCCACCAACTGGAATCATCAAAAAATCATCTAATAGATGAGATCGAGAATTATAAGCTCACAGTTTCAGCGACTGAGAAGGAGAGAGACAAGCTAAAAGAGGAAATAGATCAATTAAAGGAAGACAATATAGAGCTTAGCAGATCGATCCAAGAAATTGAAGGAGAAATGCGTCGTCTGACAATGGAGCGAGATCGCCTTAAAGCTGATTATGATTCAAGCGTGAAAAAGGTGTCGTCTCTTGAAGAGCAAATTGTTATCCTGTCACGAAATGAAGAAGGAAACAAGGATAAGGCTAACGAGCTAAGGAACCTACTTAACAGCCATAGAGATGAGAGAATGACAATGGAGAAAAACCTCAACGAGCTGCAAAGTAAGGTTGATGTCTATGTTGTTGACTTACAGAAGAAGGATCAAGCTATAGAAGATCTGAAAAATGAACGCGATAACCTAGCAAGAGATTTCGACAACATGAAAAAAGATTTTAGACGTCTTGAAGCTGAACATGACAGGCTGGTCAAAGAAAAGGCAGAGATTGAAAAGAATTACAAGATTATTGAAGAAAAGTATATCTTTATTGAAAACAGCTTCGAAAATGGTAAAAGTGAAACAAACGATCTTAAAGACGAGGTCGTGGGACTACGGAAACGTTTCCAAGACATAGAAAACGCTAACAAACTATTAAACGACAAAGACAAGGAAATGCGAGAAAAGATCGCTACCTATGAAAGTGACATTTCAAGGCTGGAATCTACCAATCAGATAAACAATGAGCGCATCATGGAATTAGAACACGAGTTGAAGGCAGCCAACGATGAACTAAAACCTCTCTATGGAGATCGTGATCGGGCTGTGCACGACCATGAAAGCATAACCGAAGAGTTAGAGCAAGTCAAAACGTATGTGAAGAAACTAGAAAGACAGTTAGATGATACGAACAAAGAGAAGAAAGCACTTGAGGTTCAGCTGGAAGAAAGTATAGGAAGCATTCAATCAAATGAGACGCAGCTCATGAATGCTGAACGGGAACTGCAAGAAGTTCTTATGAGTAAAGACAATACTGACGCGGCTGATGCTTTAGAAACTGTGAAAAAGGAAAGGGACGCACTAAGTAGGGATGTTCAAACTCTCAGAGAGGAGATAACAACAATGAAGTCGACACTAAATACTACATTGATGAAGAAAGATGATCTCGAAAAGGAGGCCTTTACTTTAAGAAGACAAGTCGCTGACTATATGACAAAGATTAAAAGCCTGGAACAAGAAAATGAAGACCTTAACCGAGAGCTGATCAAAAACCAGAAAAAGCTGTCTGATTTTGAGGAGCAAATCCATCGCCTTGTAACAGAAAAAAGCAACCTCAAAGATGAGCTTGATGACGCACGAAGCAAACTTGATAAGCAAAAAGAAATCAATTTGAATCTGGAACGATTGATCATGGAGTTACAATCTAAAGTGGATGCCATGGAGCGGACAATCGAAGATGGCAACAACCAGATAGAGTGGTATCGCAATACCCAAAAAACCCTGGAAGATGAAATTGTTAATCTTAAGAAAAAACTTTCAACTTACAGAACCGAGTCGGATAGGCTCTCGCAAGATAACACTGCCCTAAATATGAAGGTTCACGAGCTAGAGTCTAAAATAGCCGACCTCACGCATCAAGTGGAAACTTTGGAAGGAGAAAGGAACAAGCTTCGACAAGAAAACATCTCCATAACAACGTCGATGAATGAGTACAAAAATAATTACAACACTGCCAAGAAGGATGTCGACCGCCTTCAAAATGAAATCACTTCTTTGAACAGAAAAGTAGTTTACCTGGAAACACGTAACAATGGTCTCGAGGTGGATAAAGATCGCATAAAGAAGGAACTAGCCAACGTTAAGAAGGAAAACGCTGAGTTAAGTGCACGGATTGAAGCTTTGTTGGGAGAAAAGAATAGGCTCCAAAACGAGATTTCCGTCGTCCAGAAGAAATATACAGAGATTCGAACTTCATATGATGACAAGCGAGACAAGAAAAAGCCAGATCCCAATCTGCAAAAGAAATATAATGATTTGCAAGACACATATCAAAAGACACTGAAGGATAAGGAAGACGCTGAAAGAAAGTACCTCGAGATCAGCCGGCAGTACTCTAAATTGGAACTAGAACATGGAGACTGTGGAAGAACAATAGATTCTCTAAACCACGATCTTAGTCTAAAAATAAAAAGAATAGACGAGCTTCAAGACACTCTCTCACTTCTTCAAGGAAAGGATGTTGTTGATTCTGGTGATTACAAGAATCTAAGAAAAAAGGTAGTAAACCTAGAACAAGAGTTGCAAGGTGCTAATAACAAGATCTATCGTCTGGAGGCTTATAAAACGTCTTACGAAGAAAAATTCCAAAAGATGCAAGAGGACCTTGTGGCAGCTCAGCAACGTGCTTCTCAGTCAGATAACACTCTTCAGGAAGCTTATGAGGAAATAAACATCTTAAAGAAGGACTTAATGGACCTCAAGAAAAAGAATTCTGATCTAGAAACAGCAAACCAAGCTCTTAATAATGCTAAGAATGAATTAAGGCGTACCATCCAGGAATACCAAAACAAGATTACCACTTTGGAAGACGAGCTTCAAGTAGAACTAAAGCAGCAAGCTCACCTAAAGGGAATCCTCGAACAAACTAAAATGCGAAATGAAAAACTGAAGGAAGATGTCACCAAGCTACAAAAGAGGCTCATTGACCAACAGAAGTATTATGAGGACCAACTAAAAGATTTGACAGAAATGAGAGCAATTATTGGAAGACTTCGAGATGACAACCATTCTTTAGAAAATGAGAACGAAACCCTTAAGAAAGAACTGGAAATGGTCCGTCATGAAGCAGATGAGGCCACTCAAGAATTACGTGAGGTTAAGTATGACCTACAGAAGCTCCAAATTCAGTATACAGAGCTTGAGAGCACTATTCGTCTTTTGAGAGATGAAAATGAGAAGCTCAAAATCGAGCTTGAATCTGTCAAGAGGCTGTATGATGAACTTAGAGTGACCTATGAGGAGAGCGTTATCATCAAATCATCAAATGTGGAAGAAGTTGAAGCAATGCCTGAGATGCCTGAAGATTATGAATCAATGAAGCTGGATAACGACAGACTAACAAGTGAGAATTCTGCATTGAAAGGAAAGATTGATTCATTTGAGAATACCATAAACGTTTTGAAAGAAGAAAGAAAGAAACTACAAGATAAGATCTTAGAGCTTCAAAAGGCAGCATCTGACAAAGCCCTTGAGTTACAGACGATGAGCGGAGACAAGAATAAACTAACTGTAACTGTTGAAACCCTTGAAAGAAAAATAGCCGATATGAAACAGGAGGAAGACGAGCTTCTTGAGGAAAGAGAAGCCCTGTTGAAGGAGCTTGACACCATGGAGCGCAAGCTTCATGATCTTGTTATCGAGAGTCAGAAGTCTAAACAAGCTGAAGTATCATCTGAACAAATATTTTCTGTGATTGAGGCCGATTACAAGAAGCTGCAAGAACGGGAAGCTGAGCTACAGGTTGAGCTTTTAGAAGCGCTTAAGAAAGTTTCGCAACTCGAGCATGATGTTAAAGCAGAGCGAGATCGCTCCAGTGGCGCAACTGATTCCAATAAGTTGCTGGAGGATCAGGTAGCAACACTAAGGAAAGAAATTGTGACATATCAAGAAAAGATGTCTAGAGTAGAAGCAGATAGAGAAATCGGACAGGGCAAAGTCAAAGATCTACAGAGTGAAATAAGCGAATTGGAAGATAAAATCAAGGACTTGAAAAAGTCCAACGAACTTACTCAACGGGGTAAAACAGATCTGGAAAATGAAATAATTTTCCTCAGAAACAAAATGAAGAAGCTAGAGATTACTATTGACGACGAAAGAAAAGCAAAAGAATCACTGAAAACTCAGCTAGAAGACTACAGGAAAAAAGGGGACGACCAGTCTAAAGATTTTGGAACAAGGGTCACCGAGATCCAAATGGAGATGGAAACCTACCGAACAGAGATCGCTGAAAAAGATCGTGTTATTTCGACACTCCAAGCAAAGCAAGTAGACCTTGAAAGTGATATTTCCAAACTAAAACGAGACTTAAGTAACCAGCGACTGGAATGTACAGAGCACACTAGAGATCTCGAGAATGCTAACAAGGAAAGATCAGAGTTGGAAGTTCAAGTCAATGGACTTAGAGGTCAAGTTCGAAACTTCCAGCTATTAATTGAAGAAGGAGGAAAAGACAAGTCAGAGCTGTCAGTTCAACTTGAAGACTTCAAGAGAAAGAACGAAAACGTTAAACGTGAGCATACTACTCAAGTAAGCGAGTTGAAAGTCCAAATTGAAGACTACCGCAAAGATATTGGTGCAAAGGAAAGAAAAATAAAAGAAGTGTCAGAAAAGCTACACACAGTTGAGCATGAACTTACTACAGTGAAAAAGGAACTCGTCAAAAAGGAAGAGGATAATGTTCATCTTGCCAAGGCTGTCGAAGAAAGCAAACGCTACCGAACAGAACTGGAAATTGAAGTTGGATCCCTTAAAAACCAAGTGGCTACATTGGAAGTTAAAATTGAGTCTGCTAAGAAAGAGGTTTCAAGTCTACAGATCCAACTCGTGGAGACGAAGACACATGGAGAAAAAGATTCCGAACAGCATGTTACTTTCGTGAGTGAGCTCCAAACAAACCTAGAGGGGGTGAAGAAAGAGGTGGTCACAAAGGAAGAGGAAATTGAGCATTTGAAGAGTGAGAATGAGCTTGTCAGACGCGATTTGTACACCAAACAAGCTGAATGCTCTAGTACAATTGAAAAGATTGAGAAAATCCAGAATGAAAAGACAGAGCTAACTATACAAATAATGGATTTGCGCGAAAAGGTAATCTTCCTCGAGAGTGAAGTTCAGAAAGAGAGAATAGAAAAGGAAAGTTTTCAACAATCAGTTGTTGACATGAAAAGAAAAGGAGACACTGACAGCGAAGCAATGAGCAGGGAACTAACGGATGTTAGCACACGATTGGAGAGTCTAAAGAAGGAAGTCGTTGAAAAAGATACCGTCATTGAAAAATTGAAGTTCCATAACAACGATTACGAAAAGGAGAATGCCAAATTAAAGCGGGACTTCTCGAACAAGAAAAATGAATGTGAAGGTTACATTCGTGAGATCGAAAAACTGAACAATGAGAAATCGGAGGAGGAAATTGTGATTGAGCAACTGAAAAGCAAAGTCAATAAACTTGAAAGGCAATTGGAAGATTTGAGACGAGACAAAGAGATAGTTGTGACTCAAGTTGAGGATTTGAGAAGCAGAGGCGACAGTGAAACAAGTGTCCTTAACGAGCAGATCACGGAGATACAGACAAGAGTTGAAGAATACCGCACTGAAATAATCGAAAAAGAAACAGTGATTGAGCGTCTACGAATGATGGTTTCTAATAATGATGCAGAACTAGATCGGCTGAGACGCGAACTGGAAACTAAAGAAGCTGAATGTGAAGGATATATCAAGGAGATCGAGAGATTAAATCAAGAAAGGTATATTAATCAATGATGAAACTTACATTCATTTTATTGATTTATAAAATTTGAAGGAACAAAAGGTATGAAAGGATCGAGGCCAAGGGTGGAGAAGTCAAGGGGGATGCAGGTAGAAAGGGAGGGGGAAGGACGGCAAGGGAGAAGAAAATGGAAGGGACGAAGAAGAAAAATAGCCCGAGCAGAAAGTCCAACAAGGAGTTTTATTGCTTAATTTGTCAAAAACATTCCCACTTGATAATAGTCGTTTTGAAAATGTTTTGTTTCATTAACTTAAGGAAGTAGCCAGTGCAGGGGGCCAGGGCCCCTTCTCCCCTCTCGTGACAGCAAAATGGCGACTTCTTTAGATTTGATACGGTTATTTTAATTTTTTTCACAACAATAAAGCGTGAAAT